TGTTTTCTGTTCTGTAGCCACGCAAGATCTAATATTTCGTTCACTTTTTGCCGAGTCCTGTCATAAAATCAAATCAAATAGAATAGTATCAGATGTCTCATAGCGCTGGTTTTTTTCTTGAGATACAATGCAATATATGAAGTTCATATATTGTGTACTGCGGTATTAAATACATATGATGCACGATCCTCGCAGTGGATAGCGCTTTCACGGGTTTATTACGAATCAACTTAACCTAGCTTGAGATATCAAAAAAGGATTGAGCCGATGATTTTACGACTATTAAACTGAAATCCATGTCAGCCTTCCTTTTTTCCCATCCATGCCTTCTTATGTTTTTTCTGAGTGTCTCTTCCCTCCCACTTCTAGGCGCTCTTTCGTGCCTTATGAGTCTGGAAAGAGGCAACGAATTTATCGACCTTACTTAAATTTCTCACCAGTACGAACCGGCCCTTTTTCCAATTCGGCGTCAATTCTGATATTACTCTTTAAATTGCAGACCTTTTTTTTTTTTAAAAGAACAACACTCAATATTTGGTCAAATCGCTAATGGATTTCATATTCATGAAGTGTATAATGATAAAAATAGAACTCATAAAAACAGTCTGCCATGGAGCAGGTGCACCATGGATTTAAATATTAAACCTCTATTGTTGAAAAAAAAAAAGAAAACAAATTTTTCATCATTCGTCTTTGTGTCTTAGATCACGAGGAAAATCATACTTAAACCTGTCGAGAGGTAGCTTGTCATCATCAAGCTTTCCGAAAAGCAGAGACAGAGTTGGTGATCAAGTAAAAAAAACCAAGCAAGGTAATTTCACAAATTGGCTGAAAAGTTTTAGTGCGTTTTGTGCTTCGATTGTTTATCAAAACCTGTACGCCCGCACCACGAATTTGCGTTTCAAATTTTCTGAAGCAAGCAGCAGTCTTCAAACCAGCAACGTCATCAGTAAAACCTTAAAAGAATACTTGTCCTTAAATAAAGTTATATATCGGAAATAGCTATCGTCCTTACCTTCTATTTGTCTTACGTTCCAATGGTTTTTATGGTAAAAGAACTTGGGGCCTTACCTACTGAAAACTGCGTGAAGGGTATCACGTCATCTAGATTTCTTTTTATTGCTTTCTTTAATTTTCTTTCTCTTCGCATTGGCCTTATTTGTGTGAAGGTTCGAGAGGATTTGAACAACTCGGTCGACCTTGGCAACTATTTTAAGAGCTATTTTTATTCCATGCCTATGCAGGCCTTTCAGCAGTCATGCCAGACTAAAATTTACTTTCACAACTAGTCATGACGATGGATTAATCTGAATGAGAATTTTTCTTATGCCTCCAACAATGATCTGTAAGAAAGTTCGAAATAAATCTCTTGGGCTTCTACATCAACAACTGCATTTGTAAGTTTCATTTGGACGCCACCTTTCTACTTCCTTTTGCCGTTGTAGATCAGTGAAGGTTAATCGATATAGAAAACCTTCAAAAGAAAAATGACTTGAAAA